GAAAAACGCCTTGGGAAAGAGGCGAACCATCCCCAAGAACCTCATGCAAGTCAGTTGCCCCTTCAACGAAAAACTGGACAACCATGATCTGGACGAATGATAACCTACACAGGTATTAAGTCAATGAAATGCAAACTCATCGTCTTCTCCTGCCAGTGATTTTCACAACACCCTGAAGTACAGCTGTAGACACTAACAGCAAACACTTCGTGGTCCTGCATGCCCCTAATACTAAAAAAGACAATGACAAGCAAGAAAAACACTAAATATATTTACACACAGTTATAAAAAGGAGATTCATCACATTTCATTTGGCTCTACAATCAATAGAAATTAGCCAAACCAGAACTGAAATGAACCTAAGCAGATTCATCCCATACTCTTTAAAAAGACAGAACAAAAGTCCCCTGATACAGAAGCACTTGGCAACAGTGTCAAGGAAAAAGTTCCTCTTGATGCCAGGGAGGACTAACAGTTTCTCTTTGTCCTGACAGCAAATATTCTTTCTGCAAAACCATAGCAGCAGATAATTTTCAAATGTTAGTATCCTGAGCACATAAATGCCCTTAGTATCAGCTGTTTATTTGTCACTGCACTCATACCGCTCTCGGTTGAAAATAGTTGAACTTTTGAAGCACCACGCTTCTCACGTCACTTTTCCATTATCAGCTGACTCAAAATCAAAGAGTGGTTCCTCTGATGATGAAAAGAGAAATTCCCCACACTCACTTTTGGGGAAAATTGACACATTTTCAGTTGGACTAACACGTTCCTGTGTATTTTAAAACTTCAGTTTCACCCAAGCTAATAAAATAAATTGATACATTTAACACAGTGTTGACTAACTTCTGTCTTTTAACTTCAAACCAGCTCCCCTAGCTCATGGAAATATGGTCACTTCTTCTTATCTAAAAAAAGAGGCCAATGTCAAGTCTTAAAAACAGTCAACACATTCAAAGATGATATCATGGTGGGATTTCCGCTTTATTCAGAATCCAGCTGATAGGCTTTAATTAGTCTGTAGGATGGAGTTATCGTGAGCTTCATGAGAAGGCTGCTTTACCGATGACAAGAGTGACACTTCTCTCATTGAAAGGGAGATCCCCCAACAGGTCAAAAATAACTCTCTCTATTTCACCATGTGTCAAGAGGGGAAGTGTATAGCTTTATTATTCTCCTGTTAGCACTCTTGACATACAGAAACCTGAAAATATGAATGTTTTACTCAGAGGTGGCATATTTCCCCTTTCTGCGTCAAGGCTTGTTGAAACTTTTTGACCATTGGAGATTTCCCTTTGTGTAATACTGTGTGAAATAAAGGACATCCTGTATTTAAATCCTGTTTACTTTCTTTAACACTGAACTCCAACATAGCACACCCACGCCGTCATAAAAAAGTGCTTTTACTTTCTCAGATGTTGATTCTGCAGTGGCAGTAAAGCTCAGCAAACAGGCCGGTGTTTGCTCTGACTGCTGCAGTTACTCCCGCTGAGGTGACAGACGACAGGAGCAAAGGCCGATGAGTTGTAAATGAGAACAGCAGTCAGGCTCTGCAGAAATGTGAATTCCTATTTGAGAGACAAAGAGGGGTTACTTGTGAACTAGTTGTCAGTGGTTCTGCCTCTGACTTAAAGCCTGTTTACTTTATGGACACTGTGAGCTGTAAAAATGAGAAGCTGTTTGTTGGCAAGATGCTCCCGACTACCTGAGAAGTTTTATTGTGATGGAGTAAATTATAACACACAATCTCTTGTCGAGTAAAGTTTTATTGTGAGGTTGTAAACTTCATTCACACATTTTATGTTATACCTTTCACTTTAAGGCTTGCCATTTCTACCTGTGAACTGAGAAAATGCACCTCTTGGTTTTGTTCAAAGCAACAGTGTGGTTGCTGAGCTGTTTAATGTTGTCTCCACATCCGGTTGTTTTTGTCATAACAAAACTTTCAGACAAACTTTACACCCAAGTCAGGGTTACAAAACTTTGAACTGTAATGTTAAATATTTTCAAACAAAAGTTTATGTTAACTGAATAGAAAATGTAGTGATTCTAGGCGTCCTGTATTTTTTTTTTTAATTGTGTGGACAACTGATGAATTTTTATAACTTAAAGCTCCTGTTAGGAGTTTTTTGACAAGCATAGAATAGACTTAAGTTTACTGTGATGCCTCTTTATGATGTTCAAAACCAGAAAGGCCATTTCTGAACAGATTAAAGCTTAATTTATTGTGATTTAAATGCCTAAAACCTTTGCAAGAAGGGAAGGTGTCAGTGGAACAGATGACAAACAGCCCTGATTTTACAGTCCACAAAAATGTATGCAATAAATGGCACATTTAAATGTCAGACATCAGGAGGGTAAGATATTTCTATAAGGAAGACTACATGAGCACATAGAGGACAAAACAAGCAAAGACTGTTTTGTCCACAGGGAGTGCCAAAAGTAACATAAACTTAAAATTCATCACAAGAGCTTTAAAAAAAAAAGGCTGGCTCTGTGGCAGGACTCAAGCTGGACTCAGTGGAGGATGTTGTGGAGAGATCTACACTGAGGAAGGTGGAGACTATTCTCAAGAACATGGATCACCCGCTTCACAACACCTTGATGGACCAAAGGGCCAATGGTGGTGGACGGCTCCTCTCTCTTCGCTGCAGGACAAAAAGATTTAGAAGATCTTTTGTACCAACAGCCATCAGGCTTTGTAACTCTTATGTAAATAATAGATAACGTTCATAGACATATTATGTGAGACAACTGACAATTGAATTTTCCTTCGGTGATCAATAAAGTTCTTCTTATTCTTAAAGTTCTTCTTATAGTAAAAAAAACACAACTATTTTCACAATTGTGTATGTTTTCCTGCAAACTAATCCAGAAGCTACAGTCTATTTGCAGAAGAAAATACACACGTAATGTTGAATGAACAAGAGAAAATGCATACCCAATTAATATTTAGAGCTCTGGTGATGAACTATAGATTTGTGTCAATTTTGGCACCCCTCAAAAACAAAGCAGTCTTAGCTTGTCTGGGCATCTTAGGAAATAAAATCTCATCCTGCTGACATTTGACAGTCATGCATGTAATTTGTTGTTCATGTTTTATAAAGAACTGTAAAAACATGGCTCTTTAGCTGCCCGGCTGACACCTACCCCCCTAGCACCAATTTCAGTGATAAAAAATACACCATATAAAAATTGTCAATCAAGTTGCCTATCAATTGTTGATACCATGTAAAGGCACCAGTATGAATTTCAGTTTATTTTATTATTATCAGAAAAAAATCCTCACAGGAGCTTTAATAGAAAAAAAAATAAACAAAACTGTCTATGATGATGGAATTCAACTGTTTAATTATCAAAGTAACCTGCATCATCAAGTAATCTTCATCACAATTAGCTTACAGGTTGTTGTGGCTGATGTCTAACGATGACTTAAAATGGTGCTGTGATCATGTGATTAAATTATCTTCCCCTTTAGCCGTGTCACTGTTTACATCCAGCTATCCAGACTGTTGTCACAGCCAGTAATGGTGTTTAAGCAAGATAACATCGAACACCAATTACTTGCCTGATTTGCATATGTAGTAAGTAAGCTGGGATTGCCTCAGGTCACTGAATCTGTATGGAGTGAGGGTAGATAATAGAAGGACTGATACTGTTTGTATTTAACAATGCTATAGGTTTGATTTTTACTCATTTTATTTCAGTGTATTAAAAATCAGCACGGGTATTGTTGATCATGTGCATATGCATAAACCACTCACAGGAGGAATTTTCAACAGTTCACCTTCATCAAGTATGCTGGACAAAGTTCAACTGACTTTTGGTTACTGTAAGCGCTGCATGCTTCAAATACTTTTCGAAAAATTCTTCAACCCGCTTTAACGGCAGATGAAAATCTGAAACAAGGAACTAATAATCATTCCCCTACAGAAAGTCACAGATAAGTGTTCCAGGGAAAGCCTCCAGAACACAAAGGTGTGTTTTAATTGCTTGCTTTTGAAAAAAATGAATTAGGTTATATTCCGAGGCCATGAGTCCCTAAGTCCATGAAATAAATAAAGCATTTATTAAAAAGTTAGAATTTAATCAATTAAAATGTCTATTAGGCAATTTTCTTTTTAAAGAATCTTTATTGGTCTCTTTTTTAATTATTAACTTTATCATTGCCTTGTTTTTGATTGCCTGATTGCCTTCTTTTTTTGTTTGATTGTTTGTGTTATTTTGTCTTCCAAGTAGGCTAAACTGTGTTTTGATGGATCCATATTAAAAAGATATATCTGTTCTTATCATTGCCTACCTAAAAATCCAAAGTCTGCCAATTTGTTCAGATAATGACCTTTATGCGGGTACTTAGTTTCAGCAGATATGACATCTAAGACAACAAACTGACCTTTGCTTTTAAAGCCAACAGAAAGTACTCTTTGCTGTTTGTTTGTATCAGACACAGTAGGTGTAAATACCACAGATAGTCCAGATGGGAACAACATGCAGCTCCTGGAAACTCCAAAACTGTGCCACATCTACAAAATCAATAATCTGAAAGCACCTCAGGTTATGAGTCTAATGCAACAACTGAGAGAGATTCACTGGAATTTCAGTTTGAGAAGGCAAGTATTCCTTGGTAATCCCATTTCGACAGACTGGAAGAAAGGAGCTAAAAATAAGGTGCTGTTGTTGTTTTAAACAAATACACAAGACATTGCATCAGGTTGTGACAGGGAACTACACTCTCTGAAGGAACTCTGGGTATTTGACTTTGCAATCGAATAGAAACTTTAGATGCAAATTACATCAGAGTGACAGCCAATCAGAGCCTGTAAACTGATTGCATCAGAGCCGCTAACAGCCAATCAGCTGCCACCACGATAGTAGAAAAGATCGCAGGCGCAGCTGATCTTGTCCAGCAGTTGAGAATCCTCGGGGTCCGGGTGACGAGGAATTCATTAAGGATACCCGACTATTTCTGATTTTATACAGCACCGACAGGATATACCAACATGGTGGTGGTAGCAGCAGGGAACGGGGGAACCCACAAGGTGCTCCTGATATCCGGGAAACAGACTGGCTCGTCTAACGGCTCACAGGCAGGCTTCAGCCGGCCGATCTCTGTCGTTTTACCGTCAGCGGCGAGTCAGGCGTCGTCGGATTCAGACTCCAACTCCTCTGCGGGGCCGCCAGTACGAAAGAGACAGAGGCTGACTCACTTGAGTCCGGAGGAGAAAGCACTTCGCAGGTTAGTTGCACTGAAATACCCCTTTACTTAACAGAAACTCTTTTCCTAGAAGCTGATTTTTTTTAAGCCGGACAGCCGCTCATTGTTCGGCGGTTCACGGCGGGGACACACCCTAAGATATTGATCTAATTGAGGAACAATAGTAAACTGATTTAACATTTAAATCCCCCTAAGCGGAACTGGGTCAACGTTGCATCATTCAGTATTAAAATAGGCCATCTTAGATGTGTAAACTGCCCCATGAGACATGTTAATCACTTAAAAGTCATATTTGTCCACCTTTGGACTTTGAACCAGCTTGTCAAACTGCTATCTGAGTGATCTGACGGTCCATGGACCCGCCCGGCTGCTGTTACAGAGTAGGACACTGATATCCTGGTATGCCTGCGTGGCAGGAACATGGCCGGTGATTGCGCAGTACTGTGAACCGAAGTACTGTCAGGAGGGCTTAGTCAGCATCATGGAAAGAATGTCACATTCCTGTGTTTTTTTTTTCTTTATCATATTCATTTCCTTGTTCTTATATTTTCCAGGAAACTCAAGAACAGAGTCGCAGCACAAACAGCCAGAGACAGAAAAAAGGCCAAGATGGGGGAGCTGGAACAGCAAGTCCTAGAGCTGGAGCTGGAGGTAATTTCTTAAAATCATGCTGGATCCTCCACTGCATAAATGCCCATCCTATTTACCCCCCTCTCCTGATATGCCTACACAACCATAAGTCATCTGATATTGAGCAATCATGTGACTCAGCCATTTCTCACCCCAATACTGATATTTATCCACAGCTATTAAAGTAAAAACACTAGATTTAAAGGTTTTGGTTTTGTCTGTGAAACCAGACTTGATGGCTGTGGTTTCACTATCAGTCTCAGAGATTTCATCTTGGATAGCTTCATGCATCACTCTCAAATCAACGGCTTCAAGTTTCAGGTGCAAACATCTGTTTTTCTCCCTCCTGCAGAATCAGAAACTTCACATTGAAAACAGACTGCTTCGGGAAAAGACAGGCGGTCTAATGACAGAAAACGAGGAACTGAGACAGAGACTTGGGTTGGACACCCTCGACTCAAAGGAGAAGGTGAGATGTCAGTGCAGATTTTTGGAAGCAGAGTGAGGTTCAGTATGTGGAAATCTTAACTTACACTCTTTTCTGTTGTTTTTTCCCCTAAAAGGTTCAGGGTCTGTTGTCCACCGGGAACGAAACAGGTTTGGGGATCGGGTCTTCTGAGTCCGCAGCACTCAGGCTACGTGTGCCTCCGCAGCAGGTGCAGGCCCAGCAGTCCCTAAATCTGAAGACTTCTCAATGGATACAGACAGTTCTGACACTACAGACACTGAGGTAAGTCTCTGGTTTAAATCCTGGTCCTAAGACTACTCCATAATAACTCCTGGGTCGGGTCATGGGTTACTGGGCTAATCTCCCGCTCTCTCCCCCTCCTCTAGTCTGATTTGCTACTGGGCATTCTGGACATCCTTGACCCAGAGCTGTTCCTCAAGTCTTGTGAGCAGGAGTGCCAGGAGCCGCAGGTGCTGCTGGTCGGAGGGGGGAACCCAGTACCTGCCACCACACCTGCGTCTCTGGGGGCCCCACCAGTTAAGCTGGAGGCCCTTAATGAACTGATCCACTTTGACCACATCTACACCAAGCCCGTGGAGGAGGTGAGCGGTGGGCTGTGCAGTGACTCAGAGAGCGAGACAGATGAGAAGATTGACGAGGAAGCCTTCCCCGTGCCAGAGGTGGTGGTGGTGGAGGAGGAGACGGTGTGCGTCAAAGACGAGCCGGAGGAAGTGGTCATCCCCAGCTGTAATGCACACAGCGAAGTGGTTGACTTTTTCTCTGCAGCCTCCTCCCCCGCCCTCAGCGGCCTGGATAAGGAAGCATGCCTGGCGGACACCTACAGCGACTCCGGATACGAAGGGTCTCCTTCCCCTTTCAGCGACATGTCGTCTCCTCTGTGCTCTGAGAGCTGGGATGACATGTTTGCTAATGAACTCTTCCCCCAACTTATAAGTGTCTGAATCCATCCCCTCAACCTAATAACTTATATTGTATCCACCTTTAAGAGCTCATGTGTAGTTTTCAACAACTACAGATGCTTTATAGTAACACAGAACACCACTGAACCCACTTGTTTCACGTGTAAAGCATAAGAAAATAATCTCCTTTTTATATTACAGCAGGTCTGTACCAATGGCAATGCTGCATTGACTTGTGGGAGATGGAGTTCATGACAGCTTCTATTGGCCATCATTCAATCACCGAAGAGGATTAAAGATTGATTACAAATCTGTCACTCGCCGTTTCAAATAAGTTGGGTGGAATCCAGTATTGTGTAAATTTCTAAAGGGGACGGGGACCGATCATTTAAATATAACTTTTTATTTATTTGTTTATTCTGCTTTGGAGTCGCCGTATTCCGTCTTGTACAAACGCTTTCTTCTAATTTGTTCTCGCTCTCTATGTAGTCTAATTACTGCATTAAAAAAACTTTTGCATCGCATCTGGTCTTGTTTCTGTCATTGCAGCTGCACATACAGGTGGACTGATGGTTGAGCTTTAGTTGGGGGAAAATTGCCTCACCAGGTCCAGCACCTAGGTGCACTCTAACTGCTTGCCTATTGCAGATACAATTGGATTTTGGGATCTACAAAAGAACTGAGCCAGAGATTCAAAAGGTTTAATATTGACCTGAAAAATATTTATAGTCGACAAACTGATTCCTAAATATTCAGAGTGAGTTGTAGGAGCAAAGAAAAAGTTTGAAAAAGTTACAAATCTAAGGTAAATACAATCTTAATACCAAAACAGAATGTTTAATCTAACTGATGGAATACTTTGGTTTTCCGATTTTTCAAACTACAAACTGAACTGCAACTCATGCAAAAACAACACATCCAATGTTAAAACTGAACATGTTATTGTTACATAAAACATAGATGCTTATTCTATGTCTGGTGCCTGCCTGTACACATAGTCCAGCTTTAAAGGTATCTTTCCAGATGTGGAATATACTTGCTGTATATCCATCCACACGCCATCATAAAGTCTTGCTTTAAAACTGGTCTCTCTCCTCTTTTTAATGAAGAATATGGTGTCCACGATTTCCTTAAATGGGCTCAAGGCCACAGAAGTTCAATAACATTCTAATATTCATCAACTCCCATAGACTCTCACAGAGTAGTAATACTCTCCCCATCCTTACCTCTTAGACAAGCAGCCTCCCTAAACTGTTACAGATGCTGGCTTTTCAATGTGTGATCGTCCCTCTCTTCCTCAGGATGGAAAACATGATGTCCACGATTTCCCAAAAAATGTCAAACTTTGACTCATCAGACCACAGGACAGTTTTTCCACTAATGTTTAAGCCCATCTTAAAAAGACTCTTAGGCCCAGAGAAGCTGACCTTTATTCTGAAATTGTTAAACTTTTTGCTCACGCAGTCTCTCACAAAGTGGCGATCCTCTACCCATCTTTACTTTGAAGATGCTCAGCCTCTCTACAAATGAACTGTATTAGCTGGGAGATGATCACTTAACAATGAATTATATCAGTTTCCAAATTTGACTTCTTGTCTCTCTACTCTTAAATTAAACGTAGGCTGTAAATCAAACTACCAAAATCTGTTTATATTATCTAACACAAGTGAGAGACAGATGAATCCACACAGATTTTCAACCTGACATTACAACAAATCGCTGCCTTCACAGACCTCTTCAGGCTAATGTCTGTGCAGACAACAATATTTATGGACTACTATTCTTCAAAATGACAGGTCCAAAGCATTCAGCCAGACTGCTGCCTTCACAGACCTCTTAATGACAAATAACACTTGAAAGTGTCTCTCCAGTGAAGAATAATGCATGTCTAGTTTGTTATTTTACAATTTTGATCATATCAGCAGGAGAGTTACTTTCACTGCAGTATGGAGGAGGTAGCAAGAGTTTTAACTTCACTGAATAACAGTTGAGAGACTTTTAAATGTTGGTTATGGACTGTATTCAGGAGAAAAAGGTAGAGGTGTGGGTATTTTAAAAATGAAAGTGATCATGTGTCATCTAAACGATCAAGTTTGACTTCATCCTTTCATCTCTTTCTTGACTGTAATGGGTGAGTTATCTGGTCCATGTGCTGACACCATGTTTATTCTCCCTATCTGTCGTGTAGCAGCACAACCTTGCTTTTCTGAGAAGAGGGGGGCCTGCTCGTGTTACATAACACTTCTAATGTAACCGGGAGTTTCCTGGGAGTCTAACCTGAGACCGGTTTCAGTCTCTACTTCCCGGCAGAAATAGGTCGGTGTTCGTATTGTTGGTGTTTTGACTCGGTGTGAGGAGAAAAGGTGGAATGGTGGGGGGGGCACACCTTTCCCCTCAGGTCTTTATTCTAATTACAATGAGGCCTCATTCTGTGTGTTAGAGGAGACTGTTGCCCCTTTACAGCCACCCGGGGCTGTGATTGGGGTGATCACCTATTGAACAACAGCCCCTGGAGTCTGTGTTGATGTGTGGGGCTGATTAGATCAGGTTCTTGGATGTAGTACTGTTGTCATTGATCTTAACTCAGCAGGGCCCGTCTGCTTGTCTTTGTTAACTCTGGCTGCTCTTCACTGATCACTCGGCTCTGTGCTGGTTTAAAGTAGAAATGTGATATCCAATCATCAAGAAGAGGTTTGGAGATGATAGAAAACAGCAGCTCAGCTTTTTCGTTGTAAATTCAGCTATTTTTTTTTTTCACTGTTGTGGTTGGGTGAAGGAAACCACAGCAGTCTTTGACGTATGTTTGTAGAGTGATGAAAACTCACCCTTTCCTGTCTTTGTAGGATTGATAACCTGACTCATCCTGTCAGCTGTAGAGCTGAAACTGAAAAGTTTCTGCCAGGGGTAGGTGTTTCGATTTCTGGCTAGTTTGGTTGTATTTAGGGACACCAGATGAATTTCTGTTTCCATTCTGCATGCATCAGTCCTTTTTCTTTTCTTTTTTTTTGCAACCATATATGAGGCAGAAGTCCATTAAATTCTATCCGCATCTTTCAATGTTTAACTGTCTCTTGTACCTTTTCTCAGATACATGATTCCTGCTGACTCAACAGTTCCTTCCTAAACATTTGTCCAAGACACACAAAACACTTTGCTCTGACTGCAGGTTTTGAACCCAAATGAGAGGCCCTCTACTGCAGCTCTCATTGCTCTCATAGTAGAAGGTTTTCACAGTGATCCTGCTGCTCTGCAGGTCTTTTGAACTCGTCCAGGGTAAAGATACACGTCTGGTGTCGGAGCACTGCTGTAGGGTGGCATAATCACACTTCAGCATTTGAGTTTGAATTAAAATGAGTATGAAACTATATGATTTCCATCCTGCAGTTAGGGTATTGTGCTCTTATTCATATGTCTGTATGGTGTTGTAGTTTTTCAGTGTGAATTGTTGGATATTACAGAAAAGAGTAGGACACAGTGTTCTAAGGAAATACACCAGAACTCTGCCCTGAATAATCTAACCACACTTACACTGTCAGCTCTTGGGGAAGTAACTACTTACAAACTCATCTGACCTTGTTTCTTATGAGTTTTGCAACATCCGCTTCTGAGGGTTTTGTGTCAAGCAGTTTCATTTGTTACATGTTGAAAAAAAATCCTATTTAAGGTGGTTATGAGTTAAGAGACACCTGGAAAGGCTAAGGGAGTGTCTTCAGATTAAAGATCAGCTGATTATAAGACTGCGATTCATCCTAAAATGAAACATAGAAATAGATTATGAAGCTTTCCTGGAGCCCCGAAAGGAAAACATGAAGTGATAACAAACACTGAAGAGCAGTACTTCTCAAAAGTATAAAGTTAGTCAGAACCAGCGAAATGCCACCTTTGAGTCTTTTTACACCTTCAGCTTGATTATTTTACAATCCTGCTAGTGCTGAAGGGATGATAGGTGTTTCACAAATCAAGTTATCAGAGTCTCTAACAAGAGGGAAAACTGGAGCATTAGTCAAAAGCTTTTGTGTTGCATTAACTTACAGTAGTTTTTTAAAGTGATTGATTCAAAGAAAGATTTGCAAAACTGGTGTCAGACATTAAACCATGGGCAATGGGAATGCTAGTTTCTATAATGTGTCCTTGCTCCCCCTTACATACAAAAATAGATAATGTTTTCACAGTGTGATCATCACCTCCCTCATATTACCACGTGTCCTCTGTGCTGGAGTAGATATTAAAGTATACATCTGCTAAAGGAAGCCGCCCAAAGACAGAAGCAGAGGAGTCAAACGTTTATTAGAAATGTATTACTGTATTAGAGTAAAAACACTGGGATGATGTGGCAAAATCAGTGGTGGCGTTTCAGGGGTGGTGGTCTTTAAGGCCTTTGAATTCTGAGTCATGGTGTTTTGTGTTTGAACTATTGGCTCCCCTGCCTGATATTACCCAACAACTGTTGGTGGTACTGCAATATTTAGTCCTTACTTGCAAGCTGGCAGAAAACGTGCAAAAGTATGATGGTACTTAACGTAGAAGGCTTCATTTCTCATGTGTAACTTCTCCACATCATCAGCCCCGTGACTGAACCTCCTCTGGAGAAGTTGCTTAACTCCTTAGAATTCAGTCAAAGCTGGTGTATTACAACTATTGCCCAAATTTGACTGGATCTCTACTGTAACAAAACTGAGTTTAAAGGGGAAGTATCTGTTGGCCAAACCCACTAGAAGCTAAATCTTCTTTTAAATGATAGTCAGTGGTTTCTAAAGTTGAACATTTAGGATGTTTTGTCAACCAAAATCCTTTACTAGACGGCTAAAGACTCGCTCCAGGTTGGCGTGAGCCTCAAATCCAGTGTGAAACCAGACTGACTCTTAAATTAGAGCCAGATCTATCATGCTAATGTGACACTGTCGTCATCTATGAAATGATTATCTATAAACCCTCCCGCAGGCCTCGAGTTACTTCACTCAGCAGTGATATAAAGAGAATCGCTGAACCCATGGTTACAGATCCACATCAAGGCTTTCATCTTTGCAGGGAGTAAGGCTGTT